ATACACTGTTGAATACTTAAAAAGTTAAAACTGTAGCAAATTATTAAAAGAAAAATAAGACACAGAAGGAGAAAACAGGAATGGTATGCAGCTCCCTTCTCAGCTTTCCTCTCCTTCACTGTTTAATTCATTGGTTTTGGTGGGAGAGCAGTTTTGGAGTTAATTTATAAGGAAGGATGCTTAGATACTGAGAACCAAACAAATAAAAAATACCATTCCCTCCTTCTCCTCATGCCCCCATACCAAACACACAAGCTATTGTGTCTTGACTTTTTTTTTTAAAAGCACTGGGGATTGAACTCACATCCTCCCACATATTAAGCTTGAGCTCTACCACCGAGCTATGTATACACTTAGCCATCCATTATTTCTTTAGTATTTTTTGTGTATTTATTTCAGAGAAATTTATTTTAATACCTACTTCTTCAATAATACATGGTACCACGGATCAGTAAGCTTATTTTTTGGTACTGGAAACTGAACTCAGGATCTCACACTTGCAAGGCAGGTGCTGTGCCACTGAGCTATATCCCCAGCCCAGTAAATTGTTTGTTTTGCAGTCTCAGTACATAATCCGGACCAGCTTGTACTTGCTACGTGGCCCACACTGGTCTAGAACTTCTGCTTCTGTTTCCCAAGTGAACAAGTATGCACCCCAAGCCCAGGAAAACTGTTCCTTAAAAACTGATGTAATAGTGAAAATGTTAACTATTCAGCCAGAAATTGTAACCAGTCCTCACCTTATAAGCAATTTTGAGAATTAAGGGTGGGTACTTCTATGACTATGTCCACAAGGTGCTCAAAGCACAAATCACTATGAAGAGCCAATCTGAATGAGAAACTAAAAAGCTAAATTCCCTTCAGGTCATAGATCTTTCCTCTCTCAAGAAACACAGTAACAAATGCTACACTTCCTCTCCAATAACACTTTCTTACTTCACTGAGGTATAACTGCAGAAGGTACATAAACTTTAAGTGTATACTTCAATGATTTCTTATACATGTAAACACCCAAGTAACTGTCACCTAGACCAAAGATGAAGAACATTTTTACAGAACGTTTCTGAAAAAGATTTCCTCATGCCATCTCTCTCCACAATCTGTACAAGTACTGTGATGGGTTAATTTTGCCTATCCTTGACTCTCATAAAAATTAACTCATATCCTGCCTAAACTTGTTTTTGGTTTCTACTACTAAACAACATATTTCTGAGATCATTCAAATTGCATTTACCATTTTATTTTTTATTGTTGCAGAATATTCTTTTACAAATATACCAGTTCCACTTTTCCAGTGTATAGCTATTAGGAATGAAGTTGCTCTAAAAAAAAGTTCCCATGAACATATGTGTTTTTGGTGAACACACATAATCATTTATGTTTATTTTATTTTATTTCATTTGTTATGTTTATATCAAGGGACAGAATTACAAAGTTATGGGTTAGGCATGTGCAACTTTAGTAAATATTGCCAGTGTTTCAGAGTAGTTGAAGCCGGGTGTATTGGTGCATGCCCGTAGTCCCAGTACTCAGGTGGCTGAGGCAGGAAGACTGCTGCAAGTTTGAGACCAGCCTGGGATACAAAGTGAGCTGAAGGCCAGCCTGACCTGCATTTTGAGACCCTGTCTCAAAAGGACCAAAAAAAAAAAAAGTACTATTTATGAACAAGAAAATGATGAAAAATTATTGTTCTGAAAGTATTCATTTGTTTTGCAGTGCTGGGGACCAACCTGGAGCCTTGAACATTCTACATGCAAGCAACCTACCACTGGGCCACATCCCCAGTATTTTTTTTTTTTTTCAGTATCAGGGATGGAACCTTTGAGCTACATTCCCAGTTTTTCATTTTTTTCAGCAAGGCTCTCACTAAATCACTGAATCACTTAGGCTGGGCTTGAACTCGCAATTCTTCCCCAGTCTTCCAGAGTGCTGCGATTACAAGTATATGCAGCACACATTCCCACCTCATCCAAATATTATTAAAAAAATAATACCTTTACCCACTTCTAAGTTATTTGGGATGGGTCATGTAAGACCAGATACAATGTAAACCATAAAACCATTAAAACAAAGGTTAAAAAAATAACCAATGCCAGTACCAAGTGTGGACCAGAAGGAAATGCACAGAAGCTGTAGTTAAGGAGAAAACCCCGGGCTCAAGGAAGTTACAGAAATTGAACCTCAACTTAGTTCTGAGCTTCTGCCTTCCAACCTCATTAAAATTTCTTTTTTATTTTTTGCACTAAAAGGCAGTAAACTTGGGGCCTCTACACCGAACTACACCCCAACCCATTTTTAACTTTTCATATTGAGGAAGGGTTTTGGTAGGTTGCTGGATTGTTCAAGATGGGCTCAAATTTGCAATTCTGTCTCTGCCTCAGAATGCTAAGATCACAGGGCCACCATGTCAATTAATTAAATTTCTTGCTGGGTGTGGTGGCGCACACCTGTAATCCAAGCGCTTAGGAGGCTGAAACAAGAGGATCTCTATGAGTTCAAGGCCAGCCTAGGCTACATAAGGGAGCTCAAGACCTGCCTGCACTACACAGTGACACCATGTCTCAAGAAAAAATTCTTAAGCCATCAAAACAAAAACAGAATAGATTCAAATCCAGAAAGCATCTTTTTTTCTTCTTTGTTTTTGTGGTGCTGAGGATGAACCTAAGGCTTATACTCATGCTAGGCAGATGCTCTACCACTGATCCATACTCCCAACCTAAATTTTTGATGTTAAAGATGCTCTATCTCACCAAGCTTTGCAGTACACGCCTGTAATCCTAGCCTTCTGGAGGCTGAGACAGGAGGATCACTGCAAGTTAGAGGCAGCCTTGGCTACACAGTGAGCTCAGGGCCAGCCTGAACTACATAGTGAGAGACCCTGTCTTAAAAAACCAAAACCAAAACCAGGGGCTGGGGATTTAGCTCAGCAGCACAGTGCCCGCCTGGCAAGCGCAAGGTCCTAAGTTCGATTCCCGGTACAGGAAAAAAAAAAACCAAAAAAAAACCAAACAACAACAACAAAACCAAAACCAAACGAGAGGCTCCATCTCATATACTTACTTCTTGATTGTTCAACTTCCTAAAAGCATTAAAGAGGGCACATTTGAAAGCTATTTGTTACTTTTATTTACTTACTTATTTGTAGTTGTGGGGGATTGAACCCTGGGGCACTCTACCAGTGAGTTACATCCCCATCCTTTTTAAAATTTGTTGAGACAGGGTCTTGTCTCTTGAGTGCTGGGATTAACAGCATGCACCACTGACCTAGCTTTTGTATTTAATTTTAAAATTTACTTTCATATGAATGAGGCCAATTTACAACCCTCTAAATAAAGGAACTTAAAAGTACGGAGACCCAATCGGGAAGAAATTGGCAATGAGGCAATTTTACGTAGGTGAAGTCAATATGAGAGTTACTTCAAGTAGTAAAATTAAACCATGGATACCTCATTAAGAAGAAACAGGTGATTGAGTCTACAAAGAACCATATGGAATTTAGTTTTATATTACTTCTAAATTTTCTATTCATTTGCTTTACATTTCCTCCAGTATAGCCGAAAAATAAAAACAGTAATAAATTCTTAAAACCAGCAACTGCCCATTCACTCTAATGCATAAAAACGATAGGATTTACTTTTGGAAGAAGCGACTCAAAATCAACTAAAAATTCTTAATACAAAAAAAGATACAAACTTTCGGGGAAAAAATATCCTTAAAAGGTAACAAAAGAGTTTACAGGTTCTCAAAGACTGGGAAATATTTGTCTCATTTACCTTTCACTTTTATTTTTCCTGAACAAGTGATATGTGTACAGTATGACATCGTTTCAAGCAAAACGTCTGCAGGAATGCTGTGGGCCCCACCACCAGCACTACTTCTTCAGACCACCGTAAGGAACTGTTGCTACCGCCCCTGGACGGCCGCGGAAACCGTTCCCACAAAGGTAATCTGCCTGAGGGTCAATCACTCGCAACAACACACGTTCTACTCAACTCCTTCCAGTCCTCCGGGTTTTCTTTCCTACGGCCTTAGCAAAACAAGCCGATGCCCTTGTAAAGGCAACTACTTGTACCGGAGTGGACAGTGAAAAAGCCTCCCTTCCTAAGGATCCAAGCACTGACCGCGTCCAAGAGAGCCCTGCTCCTTAAGCTCCTCCCTCACCCCACTGCCTCCACCGTTGAACATCTTCCCTCCTGCTCCACCACCCCCAAACTGTAGCTATTTCTCCCGACCGAGGCAGCCCCATTCGGCCTTGCAATCTCCGCCACGCGCTCCTCCAACACGCTCTTCCCAGCAGCCTGGTTTTCCGCCGCAGCAGGTCCCGGGCCTTCCCAGCCTCGCGGCGGCTCCGCAGCCCGCGCTCCTCTCGGAGCTCCAAGCGTGCCGGTACCCAGCGCCCCGGCCCCGGCTCCGGCCCCCACCCCCCCGCCAGCTCGCAGCTCCCGCTCACCTCGGCCCCTGACAGGAAGGGGTGCGAAGGCCCCGTGATCGTCAGGTAATTGTCATTTCCTCCGGGAAACTGCAAACCAAAACAAAGCCGCGGGGGCAAGTTAGGGGGAGCGGGGAGTAGCCTGCGGCGACGAACCCCGACCCCGACCTCTGGTAACAATCCCCCAGGCCCGCTCCCTCGCCCTTCGGTCAGCCGCCTCCCCGCGCAGCTTCCCGCTAGCCGGCGGCGCGCTCTCGCCAGCCTTCTCAGCGCCCAAGCGCCTACCTCCATCTTCAGACAACCGCTCACTCCGTCTCAGCCCGCAGTCGCCCCCACCGCCCCCACAGGACTCGCCGTGCGTCACTTCCGCGTGACGCGCGTCGCTCCCCGCTGATTGGAAGGAAACTGCCATGAGTCAACCAGCCGAGCGCGAGCGGACGGAAAAGCTAGCTATCGCCCCCTGGAGCTTGGTGGGATAATGGCATGTAGATGTGCCAGAGGCGTCCCTAGAGGCCGTGTCGGGTACTCCTGATTGAGAGATTTCTGGGGAGTGCAGTAGAGACGTGGTTTAGGCTAGAGGGGCCGGAGACGGGGGACAAACAAAATCGGTAGCTTGAGCGGCTAGAGAGGTCGGACGTAAGTGGCTGTAGAAGTCGGGCAGACCCGGAATACGGAGGAATCGGGACCATGACTTATGCTTATCTCTTCAAGTACATCATCATCGGAGACACAGGTAACCTGCGGCTGGACCGCCTTCAAGGCTGGGGCGGGCACCCGAAGCTCCCAAATCGGGTCTCGGGGGCGGGGCTCCCTTTGTGGGCTGGGCGTTTGGGGAAGCGCGGGCGGGGGCGGGGCGGCCGGCCAGGGGCGGGGCTCGGGCGCCCCTTCGCGGTCCTGGACGCCAGAGTCGCGGAGCCGGGGCGTTCCCGGGCCGATCGCCTCCCGCGACGCAAATCCTTCTCCTCCAGGAGTGGGGAAGTCATGTCTCCTCCTGCAGTTTACAGACAAGCGGTTCCAGCCCGTCCATGACCTCACAATAGGTAAGTGTATCTATTTGTTTCAGAACAGATAAAACCAAACTGCTGACGGGCAACGTTGGCAGCCTTCGAAAGTCATTCTTGAACCCGTGCGGGGTTACGGTGTATGAAGAGTGTCTAATTAAACGTCAGTAATGCGTAGTATGTGTCTGAAAGGTAATTTTAGAGATGAATGTGAGGCGGGACTAGTTGCCTTACGGTGATGTTTTCCTTCAAATGCAGTTTATGGAAAGTCTCACGATAGCGTGACTACTATTATCTACTGTAAGCATTTACTGATAAAAATCTTAAAAAGTGAAAAACATAACTGCTCATTGAAAAACTCATCTGTGGTTTGCCATAATTCGTAGCAGTTTCACCTATGTTTCTCAGAGTAAGCCCCAATACATGGACTTTTTGGTGTTGGAGAAGCAGTAGCAAATTGACGGGCCATCCCAGCCTTGCGTGAAAAAGGAGAATGAATCTAGTAACTTTCCTTTAAAAGAAAAAAAAACAAAAAACAACTGTCCCTAGCGTATCCTTCGTTATGTGTGAAGAACTACTACTCCACTGTATAAAACACTCCACATTGTTCTTTATCCATTCACCAGTTGATGGGCACTTGGGTTATTTCCGTGATTTGGCTATTACAGCCGGGCGTAGTGGCGCACGTCTGTAATCCCAGCGCTTGAGAGGCTGAGGCAGGAGGATCGCTGTGAGCTTGAGGCCAGCCTGGGCTACATAGTGAGTTCAAACCCAGTGTGAATTACACAGGGCGACCTTACCTCAAAAAAAAAAAAAAAAAAAGAAAGAAAAGAAAAAGAAACACTCCCCCCCTCCCGCCAAAAAAAAATGATTTGGCTATTACAAACTGTGCCACTGTAAATACTGGTGTGCATATGTCACTGTGATATGACGCTTTTAATTCTTTTTTTTTTTTTTCTTGGTCTTTTTGAGACAGGGTCTGGCTGTGCAGTTCAGGCTGGCCTTGAGCTCACTTTGTAGCCCAGGCTAGCCTCCAACTTGCAATGACCCTACTGCCTCAGCCTCCCCAGTGCTGGGATTACAGACATGCGCTGCCAAGCCAGGCTCAGGTCCTCACATTTTTGCCAATACTTTTTTGTTGTTGTTGTTTTGTTTTTTTCCGGTACCGGGAATCGAACTCACGACGTTGCGTTTGCCAGGCAGGCACTGTTCCACTGAGCTAAATCCCCAGCCCCTTTGCCAATACTTGTACTTGTGTTTTTGGAACTTGGTGGGTATGAAATTGATACAGGAAAATAAAAACTCCCAACCTGCCGCAAAAAAAAACGAAAAACAAAAAACTCCCAACCTGAACAATATCTGGGATGAGTTCGTGTTCTCTAAAATCGAAGAGTGAATTTTAGGAACAACGGGAGTTAAGAGCAGAATGTATTTTATTGAGGGAAAGAAAGCTTCTGTCCAAGAGAGGGACAAAAGGGGGACCCGAGTGGGTTGCCCCAATGCTTTTAATTCTTTTGGGAAGATATGCAGGAGGGGAATGGCTGGGTCAAACGTTCCAGACATTTCTAGGGAAGTGTATGCACCTTGAGCGCATACTTTTAAATAAAATAAATCGGACACATGTGTCAACACCACACTGTTTCTCTAGTGTGAGAAACCAAAATTGTAACAAGGACCAAAATGTATTTTGAAGAAGGAGGAAAATGTTCAAATGGAGAGGGAAAAGGAAAGAAGGGAAAATTTCTTAAAAATGAGAAAAGGAGGAAAACATGGAAACAAAGCTTTGTAAATAGGGGAGGGAAGAGGCGTTGAAGGGTGGATGGGGAATGGGGAAAAAACCCAGTTATATCATGTACAGGTACAAATTCTCTGTGATGAGTGTCATTGTTATGTGTATCTAAAATATACCAATAATATCTAATGTTAAAAAAAAAAGAACACGATAGAGATTGGAAAAAGGTTTAGAAGGTAGCACCAACCATCAATTTTTTTTTTTTTTTTTTTTGTCTTTTTGAGACAGGGTCTCGCTATGCAGTTCAGGCTGGCCTTGAGCTCACTTGGTAGCCCAGGCTGGTCTCGAACTCACAGTGATCCTCCTGCCTCACCCTCCCAAGTGCTGGGATTACAGGTGTGGGCCACCATGCCCGGCCATAAAATATTTTTAAAATGAGTATTAAGAATGATACACTGATTAACAAGGCAACGCCATACCGGCCCATAAGATAGCTGGTTGTCTTCCAGTGAGGGAGGCAAGGCTGGGCTAGATCCTGACGAGTAAATTTCCTTCATGACGGGAGGAGATGCTGCCTCTGTTGGGAACACCTGACAAAAAGGAGCAGGAGTGAGGCTCAGGGTTATCGTGATGAGGGGCAATGACTAGGGTAAGAGAATAAGAGTGTGGGCAGAGGCTCAGAGTCGGCAAAGATCGGGCTGCTTTCGGAGAACAAAGTATTTTAAGGATAGGGCTGGAGCATGGAGTTTGAAGTGAAGAATAGTAGGAAATAAAGCTAGAGAGAAAAAAATTAAAGTACCAGGTTCTCAAATACCTGAGGGAAATTGGAGCAAATAACAAATTCTTAAGTGAAGACATGGGCAGGGGAGATATAGCTCAGTGGTATAAGCACCTGCCTAGCAAGTGCAAGGTCCTGAGTTCAATTCCCAGTACCAAAAAAAAAAAAAATTACTTTTATGGGGCTGGGGATTTAGCTCAGCGGCACAGCGCCTGCCTGGCAAGCATAAGGTCATGAGTTCAATTCCCGGTACCGGAAAAAAAACGAAACAAACAAACAAAGTGAAGACATGAAATGATCAATCATATTCACCTCAGAGCCCAATGGAGTCTGAATTTCTTTCTGAGTTCAGACAAACAAAGCAGGTGGATAAAAAATACGTACAAAATGTAAGGGTCTCTGAATGTATAACCAGAGGAAATTTCATTTAAAAAGACAAAGGTTTTATTTCTTATTTATCCATTGAAATTCCATTCCTATTACCTACTGGAAAAAAAAAAAAGACTTTATCTGTAGCTACTATGTGATTCTTGATGAAGCAATTAGACTAGTAAGAAGCAGCTGTTACATCTCTCTTGACTAAGGCACCTTAAAGTTAAGGTATTCCAGCTATATTGTGTGTATGTGCATAGGTCACCAAGTAGCTGCATACTAGCCCTTAGGACAAGGTAGATAAGTGATCTTCAACATGTGAATTCTTCATGGTACTTGCAAAGTACTGTTTGAAAATAGGAGGTATGAAAAATTTTCTGACTTGTCCAGTGTTTTTAATATTAGTAAATATTTAAGTTTTAGCCTGACATTACTTGGTAGAAGATTGCCGGTTTCCATACATTCTGAGGGGGGCTGTTTTCCAGTAAGTGCTCGGAATTATTGGTGATCTTGAATGTATGGTTTTGAGGACCCATTTCTTTTCCCTGTCTTTGTTTTTCCTTTTTTGGGTTTTTTTTATTTTCGGGGGACTATTGAGACAGGGCCTTCCTATGTAGTTCAGGCTGGGCTGGAACTCACTACATAGCCCAGGATTGCCTCAAACTCCTGGCAGTCCTCCTGCCTCAGCCTCCCAAGTACTGGGATTATAGATATGGGCCACCATGCTAGGCTTTTTTCTTTTTCTTTTAATGGTGCTGGGGATTGAACCCAGAGCCTTACCCAAAATAGACAAGCACTGTACCACTAAATTACAGCCTTAAGACCATAATTTTTAAACTCTAGAATATAAATGAAGGAACATAAAGGAACACAAAATCAATTGCAGCAAATAAGCAGCGATAATGAGCCTAGTGGGACTGAGTGCTGCTATTAAAACACTTTGAGGAAAAGCATAAACTTTCTACTCCACACGTCTGCTCATGAGACTCACATTCTTTCTCTTGGCCTCCACTGACAGGTGTGGAGTTTGGAGCCCGTATGGTCAACATTGATGGAAAACAAATCAAATTACAAATCTGGGACACGGTAAGAGATAACAAAACAATTTATCTCCTGACAAAGATCTGAATGTAACAATGAAAGCTGGTGTGGGGAACAGGGTTATAAAGGTGGGACTGTTGGTGGAGATGAAATAAGGAAGAATGAGATCAGTGATGGGGGAGGCTTTGATCCCATCTGTTACAGGGACAGATTCTGAACTCCACATCTGTGTTTTTACACATCTGACTAATATACTAAGTTATAATAAAAAACCCAGTGTGGTTGCAGAGTAAAAGCTTATTTGTTTGTTTTTGCTGTGTTGGGGATTGAACCCAGGGCCTTGTGCATGCAAGGCAAGAACTCTACCATTGAGCCACATCCCCAGCCCACTGCAGAGTAAAAGGTGGATGTCCCTTTATGCACACAAACTCCTTTTCTCTCCCAACTTTAGTTGCTGTTCTACCAGAGGAACCCATTATTAACAATTTTGTGTGTGTGTCTTCAACTTTATATACATTTAAATACATACATATAAATATATGATAGGGTTTTTGTTTTGTTTTTCTAGTACTAGAGATAGTACCCAGGACCTTTGCACTGAGCTGCAATCCCCAGGCCTGCTTTTATTTTTTACTTTGAGACAGGGTCTCCCTAAATTATTAGATTGCCAAATTGGGCTTAAACTTCCCAACCTCCTGCCTCAGCCTCCCAGAACGCTCGCATTACAGGCGTTACTGCCATGCTGGGCGTGGTTTTCTTAGTATTTATATGTGTAAAACTGTGACAGAGTAGACCTAGCAGTGCTTTTTAGTTTAACAATCTAAATTTTGGAGTCTTAGCTGCATTAGTGCACATAGGTCTACCTCATTCCTTTCACCACTGCATAGTCGTAGAATGAACCATACATTCATTCAGCCTTCCTCCCACTGATGGAAATTTAGGTTGTTTCTGACCTTTCACTATTACAAAGCTTCATTGAACATTGTTATTGTTATTATTGAACATTGTTATTCACCGTGTCTTTACAGAAACGTTAGCGAATTTCTGTGTAATACCTGCCCAGAAATGGAAATTCTGGCTCAAAGGTTGTACGTATTTTAAAGTTTGGTAAATGTGATACTGCCAAAGCTTAGTGTGGCTTACTATAATTTGCTTCATCTAGGTAAATTGCTTTCATGTGCATTATCTCATTTGATTTATGCTATTTTTCCTCTAAGGCAAATATCTTAGTTTCTATTTTTAGTTAAATGGAGCTAACAAATAGTTCTGACTTTTTTGCTAAAATCTCTTTTGTTTTCCTTGCTTAGTTCTTACTGATTTTTTTTCTCAGAACTGAGACCTGAAGCCATTTTATCTACAGTGAGTGCACAAGTTATTTTTTCTTTTTCTTCTTCTCTTTTTCTCCTTGTTCATTCCACTCTTCCCCACCCCACTGCTCTGTGTAGCTCTTTTCTGGTTTTTGGATGAGCTGATTCATCAGATGCTTTTAATTGGGATGATACTTGCCTATCTGTTTTTTGCTTGTATTTTCAAGCATTTTAATAACTTTTTGCCCTTTGGATCAGGTTTTTCTTCTTAGCCTTTTGGAATGTCCTAATTATAAGAACATGGATCACTTCACATATCTAATTATAATTAACTTCAGCCAGATACTTCTATAACTTCCAAAATTGTTTCATTTTCCAGTTTTTGTTTGTTAGCAATTCCCCCATAAAGCCTAAGAAATACTACTGTAAAGCCGGGTGTGGTGGGGCACACCTGTAATCCCAGCACCTGGGAGGCTGAGGCAAGAGGATCGTTGTGAGTTCGAGACCAGCCTGGGCTACAAAGTGAGACCCTGTCTCAGAAAGACAAAAGAAAAAAAAAAAAAAAAGAAATACTACTCGAGGTCTCTTGTCTAGGTTTACTGTATATATGAATTTTTAAGCAGCTGCCACATATTTCTTTGTTTTATAGACAAGGCCTGATATTCTGTGTCACATAGGTATTGCAGCTTACCTCTTATTAACCTCTTGAAAAAATTCCTATGAAGGGAGATTTGGCCCACTATTGCGGCGACAGCCTGAATTCTGAGGAGATGACAAAGGGTGAAGCTGTAGTCCAGATGGGCATAGGCTAGATTCTGCCCCTTCCATCTCCAAAATGGATGTTTTGATGACAGGAGAAAACCCAGTAGGTGCCATATAGTCATGGCCGTGTGTCAGCTTGCTGACTTGCCCTTCCTCCCTTCTTTCCTTCCTTCTTTCCTTCCTTCTTTCCTTCCTTCCTTCCTTCCTTCTTAAGTTCTCATGTGAGACATGGTTGGATCATGAAGTAAGAAGGCTGAGACAAGATCCTGGAGAACTGTGTTTCCATCCAAATGACCTAATTCATTTCTGTTCCCTTCTTAAAATTGATCTGAGGCTATATTAATCCTTACTGAATAACAAGAAACAGGTTTCAGAATACTGTGGTTTTCTGCTTACTTTGAAAAGTTGAAGAGATTCGTATCTGTAGTGTAGTGTGTCTTGGCTGCCATTTCCTGTGTAAGCCTGGTCATTTCTCCCTGTCAGCACCCATGTCCTCCTCATTGCTTAGCACTGTGTTGTACACTTCACCATCCCGTTCCCCCCATGCTCACAAAGCCACCTTATGTGAAAATGCTTGGGCATTAACATGATGGATATTTTATTTTATTTTGTTTTATTTGTGCATGGGATTGAACCCGGGGCCTCAAACCCTGGCACTCCCTACTACCAAGCTGCTACTCCAGTCCCATGATGGATATTTTAAAGAAAATCAGGTTATTCAAAGTTTTTTGTTGTACTTTTCTGTATTGAAGAGGATTTAGAGAACCTTGTTACTCTTTATTTCTGTATTGCTTTTTTGTCGTGTGAGTGTGTGTGTGTATGTGTGTGTGTGTTCATTCTCAAATAGCCATGTTCATGAAGAGGCATTCTGTTATAGCTAATATAAAATATTTATTAATCCCAAATTAATTTGTATTTTACTTTGGAATGCATTTGATTCTTAGGAAAAGTATATCTGACTTTTTAGGAGTCAGTGCTGTAAACTGTATCTTAGAAGTATCGGGGCTGAGGATTTAGCTCAGCAGCACAGCGCCTGCCTGGCAAGCGCAAGGTCATGAGTTCGAGTCCTGGTACGGGGGCGGGGGGAGAAGTATGATAGGATGCTGCCCCTTGGGACAGTTAGAAAGCCATGTGTTGTCTCCATCAAACCCCATCTTAGTTATTTGCTTCTTAAGAATTTTCACTGGAGGTAGGCAGGGCCACGTGAGACTGATGGAGACCTAAGCTGAACTACTCCTTTTGTCTGGCTTTTTGGCTCACAAATTGGTTCATAAGAAGTAAATTGATTTGATTTTTAAAGGTTTTCCAGTGACTCATTGGAGTTATTTTCAGCTGTAAAGTTTAATGCTGCGATGTAATTCAACTATTACGTGGGCCTCCCTCAAACTTTAGTCTCTTATAGGCCATGGGCGAAGTAGAGGAGGACTTTCAGTGATAGCAGAAGAGGAGAAAAAGTAAGAGCAAAACAAGACCCAAATAATGTGTGACACAGAACAGTTAGGGAATAAATAAAAAAGCTTTAAGTAGCCAGGTGTGGTGATGCATGCCTGTAATCCCAACATGTGAGAGGCTGAGGCAGGAGGATCGCCTCATGTTTGAGGCCACCTTGCACTACATAAAGACCCTGCCTTAAAAGAAATTTTTTTTAAAATGACCTTCTGGAAGGCAAAATTGTGTTTAAATCTTAAAATAGTATTACCAACAAGGGACTTCAGAATTTTTACTTTTGGATTCTGATATTCTAATTCACTAAAATGTGACTTCGTTGTTTTTTGATACTGAGAATTTTTGGGTACTGGTACCCAGTGCTTCATGAATGCTAAGCGAGCACTCCACCACTGAGCTACATTCTCAGCCCTGTATGATTCTTATATAAAGAGAGTCTTAACTTTGCGCAGTGGTGTATGACTGTAATTCCAGCACTCTGGAAGGCTGAGGCAAGATCACAAATTGAGCCCAGCCTGGCCAGTTTAGAGGCTTAGAAAAAAAACCTCAAAATTTAAAAAAATAAGGAAGGAAGGGAGGGTATACTGAACTGGATTTATCCTTCCCATTCTGAAACCCTGATTTAGGTTATATGTTCAATGGTTAATATTAAAAAAATTTAACGTGTGATAGGAAGTATTAAGATCTTCATTTGAAGTGATAGCTCCAGCCCTGCCTTATATGGCCCATTACTGAGCATGCCTGAGGCTCATTTCCCGCTTTTGCAAAGTATCTGGCTTTGAAAGCCAGTAGTACGTAGCTCAGGGTCAGTGTCTGGCTCAGGGTTGCTAAGAGAATTAAATAAGGTAATATATGTAGCTGTCTCTCCACACCCCTCCCCGGCCTTTTCAAAAATGTTTAAGCTTGAGATAGGCCCTTGCTGAATCGCCCAGGCAGGCCTCAAACTGCAGTCCTGCTGCAGCCTCTTAAGTAGCTGGATGTTGGCTACTAACACATGGTATTGCGGCTCTTATGGCTTTTAACACACTGAGTCTGCCAAAAATGGTTTGACATAATATTGTAGTGTTACCATTAACATCATCACTATTATTGGTACTGTGTCGAAAGCCATTTACCTTTCTATATTCTTATCCTAGATCTCCTGTCTGTAAAATATGAATAGTCTCACTTCCCAAATTTTATGTAATGATAACAGGATAAACAATTTCAAAAATACAAAAAAACACTTTAATGGGATAGATTCCATGCACCAGATATTCTGTTTTTATGTTACATTATTTATTTATTTATGGTACAGAGACTCAAACTCACAACCTCACACTTGCCAGGCAGGTGCTATGCTGCTGAGCTATATCCCCAGCCCTTCTGTTATTATTTAAAAGGTACTTTTGCATCCCCTTTAAGAAAACAAAAACTTGTACATAAAGAAAGCGAAAGTACCTAGTGCATGGAAGAAGTAATTGTTCAGTCATAAATAAAAAATATTTTGGCCCAAGTAGAAATGAGATTAGAGTATAAAAGTTGAAAAGTGGTTTTGAGGGCCAGGAGTGGTGGTGCACACCTGTAATCCCAGCACTTGGGAGGCTGAGATAGGAGCATTGCCATGAGTTCAAAGCCAGCCTGAGTTACCTAATGAGTTCAAGGCCAGCCTGAACTTCATAGCGAGACCCTGTCTCGAAAACCAAAAAAGGCTGGGATATAGCGCAGTGGCACAGTGCCTGCCTGGCAAGTGCAATGTCCCAAGTTCTATTCTCGGTACCAAATCCACCCCTCCAAAAAAAGTGGCTTGTTTTGTTTGAGACTGCTTCTTGTGATGACCTCAAACTCATGAGAGTCCTCTTACCTCAGCCTCCTAAGTGCTGGGATTATAGGATTACCCCCATGCATACTTGAATTTCTTAAGAAAAGCTCTGTTTAGTGCCTTGGGCTTCTTTTGCTATTCCTCCTACTATTTTCCATGATGGGAACTCAGTGCGGGATAGCTTTGTAGTCCTGCCTTTATCACAGGAACACTAAAGGTCAGTAGCATAGGTTCAGTTTGATTGCTTCATATCTAATTCTCTACATTGATTGATTGGAGTGAAGTGTTCATTTAGCTGGAGACTGGCATTCTCAGATAATTTTCCTTTTTCACAGATAAAGGGCCAGGAATGGAAAAGCAAATGTGATGTATTTAACATACTTGGGATTGAAAATACAACTTACCCCAAGTTTCCAGTCCCATTTCCAGTTCCCTGGGCGCACTGGGAATGTGTCGCAGCTCTTGGTGTCCTGCTCCTGTGGGCGCCACTGGTGTGCAGTGGCTGTAGCTGGGGTGTTAAACGTCCAGGACGTTGCCGGACAGTCCCATAAGAACAGTAACTGACCCACCTGAAGTATCCATGGCACTCTTACTTAAAGAATGTGGCTTCTTACTTGGCCCTCTCCCTGGGCAGGCGCATTTCCTTTCCCAAATTCTCTTACCTAATAGAAGTTCTTTCTTTAGTTACGTCCTTTGTGTTAGGGCGGCAGGTGACCGAGTCATTTCTCTGGAAATAACCTCGTGTGTTGGGATTTTTTGTTGCCATGTCGATGGGACAGGCCGGGCAAGAATCCTTCCGCTCCATCACCCGTTCCTACTACAGGGGAGCAGCGGGAGCACTGCTGGTGTATGACATCACAAGGTGAGCCGGCTCCGGCGCGCGGGAGGCATGCTTCCAGAAGTTCCCTAGGCATTGCTTCTGCAATGACTGGTTCTGTTTAGGAGGCCTGCTAGGGATGGCCTCCAACTGTATACATAAAACTGTCCCATTTTTTGTATAGTTGGAGTTGCTTTGGCCTTTTGAAATGGCCTCTGACAAACTTTCTAAACTTCTCTGCTGTAGGCGTGAAACGTTCAACCACCTGACCTCCTGGTTAGAGGATGCCCGCCAGCACTCCAGCTCCAACATGGTCATCATGCTGATTGGGAATAAGAGGTGAATATTTTGTCTTTATGAGTAATAGTTAACAGGAGTCATCTAGGCACTCTGTAAACACTGAATTTCTTGGGCTTCAGATTTTTTGTACAGTGTGCATAACATAAAACACACTTGTAATTCTTTGGGTAGAGGTACAAATTCGGGAGTATTGGCATCTCCCTTGTCTTTATATAACTCATGCATAATAAATGGAAATCTTGTCAATTTGTCATAACACTACTGGACTTTTTCATGGTTGAAAAACTGGAAACCTGAAAAAAAAGAGAAAAACTCCACTGGGCATGATTGTGCACACCTGTAATCCCAGCACTCGGGAGGCTGGGGCAGGAGGATTGCCAAAAGTTTGAGGCCAGCCTGAATTACAGAGCAAGACCTTGTCTCAAGAAGGAAAAGAAAAAGAAAAGCTGGAAACCTTCCAAATGAAAATTTCCAGTTTAAAAAATAAAAATCTAAGACCTTTTTAAAATTCTTGCTTTTTTTTTGGAAACAGGGTCTCACTCTGTGGTTCAGGCTGGCCCTGAACTTACTATGTAGCTGAGGCTGGCCTTGACTTTGGGTGGTCCTCCTGCCTCAGTCTCCCAAGTGCTGGGTTACAGGTACGCCACCATGCCTGGCTCCAACCGTATTTTTTGTCAGCCTTTTTAAAGTCTTTTCATGCCACTTCATTCCCTTTCTCCATCCTGGTTCTTTCTCTCTCGGGACTGCCTGAACCTACTCATGTCACCATCTCCAGTCCCTGGCAAGAGAAAGGAGCCTAGTGAAAGGAAGGCTTTTGTGCTCTCGCTGTTCCTGGCTCTCCCTCTTTTTGTGGGTTGATTTCAGCTAAAGATACTCATTGCTCCAAGATGGGAAGTTCTATCGCTTTCCTGCCTCCTAGCAAATACTGTTTCCATTTCATTATCTCTGCTTTGATCTCCTGGATCTCATTTGGAAAAGAAGCATTAAATATAAGCTTTGGGCTGGGTGTGGTGGCACACACCTGTGATCCAGCACTCGGGAGGCTGAGGCAGGAGGATCATTGCAAGTTCAAGATCAGCCTGGGCTACAAAGTGAGCTCAAGGCCAGCCTGAACTGCATAGAGGAACCCTGTCTCAAAAAAGATTAAATAAATAAATAAATTAAATAAAATAAAAGATTTGAGTGGTAGTCGAGCTTATCTAACACTTAATAGACTTTCTTTCCTCTAATGGAGTAAGGTATTATCATCAGGCACTCAGCAGCTGTCCTAAATCTGAAGAGTATTTTCTAAGGCTAGAGAAATGAGTAACCCTATGCAAGACAATATCACATAAGGTCGATATTCCCTGTGGATTAACTGGCGACTTAAGCTGCTGTGAGATTCTTTCAGAGTGTCCTCTTTTCTGTAGAATTTTTTGTTTTGCTTTTGTTTTTTAGTTCTCTCCCTGATTAATCTCTTGCAGTGACTTGGAGTCCCGCAGGGATGTGAGGAGAGAGGAAGGGGAGGCCTTCGCTCGGGAGCATGGATTGATCTTCATGGAGACTTCAGCCAAAACAGCCTGCAATGTTGAAGAGGTACTGTTTCGGAGAAAGTAGGGAGAGTTCTTCAGAGGCAGCACCATTGTGTTCGTGGAGTTGCTGAGAACTCTCTTTTGTAGTGAGGCGTGGGTAAAGGAGGGGTATCTTGTGGTATCTTGTGGGCGGAGTGACTAAATGTGTCCCTTGAAGGGAACCGTCCCAGTATCTTTTACCTGGATGCCTAAGATTTTACTTTTTCTTCGGGAAGCATTGATTGGTAAATGGAAATTAGATATGACTATGACTTGGAAATTACTTTGTTGAGGACTTACTGGGTTGTGCTGTTGTCATTCCTAGGCCTGGGGTTAGCGCTCTCTTCAGTAACTAGTAGGAGAGCGTGTCTGTTTTATTCACAGAGGCTGCCAACCTAGGAGTATCCTGGGTCATTACCAGAACAGTGTATAATCCTTTTATCTTTTTGAAACTAACATCAGTGGTTTTTCCAGAAGCATTTTTTCGGGGAGGGGGAATCTGTACTTTTGCTCCCGTCTAGTGATTCCTAATTCATCTTTGAAATCCAAATAGGAATACTATTTGTGTTCTCTTTCCCTCATTTATTTACCTACACTTAAGACTAATAAATGATTTTTTGTCTCCTCCAGGCTTTCATTAACACAGCCAAAGAAATCTACAGGAAGATCCAGCAGGGTTTATTTGACGTGCACAATGAGGTGAGAGAGGGTGGCGGCGGGCTAGCTGGCTGCTAACTGTTTTTTCTGACAGGGATGGAAGAGCCCTAGAGTGTAAGCATTCCCTAAGATACTAATCGTACCTCTACCAGTTCAAGCCATTTTGTTTTTCAAATAAAGGTACATAGAAACGTGTCAGCATTGTCTCCTTTTCCTCAAATCTGACACCTGGAATGCTTAAGAGATTATTAGTAAGTGATTTAAAAGACTTGCATAATGTGGTTTTTCTTCTCAAACTTAGTTTTCTCTTCTTTCGTTTCTTTTTTTTTAGCACCAGGGATTGGTGCTTTTTTGCTCCCCTTTTTAAGGTACATTGTTGAACTTAATTTTCATAGCTATGTGCAGAATTAAGATTTGATAAGTTAGAAAAGAGTAGGAGTACTTGGTGCAGTGGCATATACCTGTATTCCCAACTACTCAGGAGGCTGAGGCAGGAGGATCTTAAGTTCAAGGCCAGCCTGGGCAACTTAGATCCTGTGTCGAAATAAAAAGTCCTACATCTTCTTCCTTCCTTTGGCCCTTCCAAAGCTAAATTTTTTTGGGCCAGGGATACCGCTCAGCGGCACAGTACTTGACTGGCAAGTGTGAGGTCCTGAGTTCAATTCCTGGTACCAAAAAAACCCCACCAAAACTAATTTTTTAAAGGGGATGGGCTGGGGATATAGCTCAGAGCTCCTTCAGTTCAATCCCCAGTACTATCAAAAAAACAAAGCACAGTGGGAAGATAGCAAATGGAAGTACCATATTAGCATATGATTCTTTTGTTTTGTCTGAGAATATGTTTCACAGAAATGGCTCTTCTGAGTAATTAGGAATTATATTTCCCTCATATTCTGGCATAAAATATTGAGTCTTGGCTGAGCATGTGGTGCATGCCTGTAATCCCAGCTCAGCGAGAGACTGAGGCAGGACGATCAAAAATTCAAGCCCAACTTGGGCAATTTGCAGACTTAGACCCTATGTTAAAATAAAAATTTTTAAAAGAGAGAGGATGTAGCTGAGTGTGAAGACCCTGGGTTCAGTCCCCCAGTACTACAGAAAAAAGGGGAGAGGCACAAGAATACATGACATAATATTCCTGTACTTGTATCTGGTAAGATTTTAAAGTGATTTATCCTTTAAAATTCTGTCAGGCGTGGTGGCTCACACCTGTAATCCCAGCACTTGAGAGGCTGAGACTGGCGGCTCACCACAAGTTCAGTGGTAACCTGACTACAGAGCGAGTTCAAGACCAGCCAGGGCTACATAGCAAGATGCTGACTCAGAAACATCAGACATGTTACCACACTAGGCAGTAGTGGGGGCATCACTGCTTGACACAATGAAACAAAAATGAACCAAGAGTCATTTAGAGGGGGAGGAGCACAAAAGCCACCTCTAATTACCTTTTATATTTAACTTAATTTTCTTTTCTGTGTGGTACTGGGGGTTGATCCCAGGGTCTTAGCACTGTGCTACATTGTCTGCCCTTTTAAAACATGTTTGAGCTCTCGCTTCAGCAGCACATACACTTTGAGACAGGGCCTCACCAAATCAGGCAGGCCGGGCTCACTTTTGAACCTCGTGCTGCCACCTGCAGAGCCACCTGTGATCCTCAGAGCACAGCTCGGCATCCTACACTCGGTTGTCATGGAGGACTGATCTACAGCAGTTTGGCCGGGCACATGGTTACCTGCCAAGGATGTGTCTATTTTTAAACGTATCTAATGATTTCTCCTTTACCACCTTCCTTTGCTCCATTCCCTTCAGCCCCGAGGTGAGAACTGTTGCCTTTTTTTATTTTACAGGCAAATGGTATCAAGATTGGGCCCCAGCAGTCAATTTCAACACCCGTCGGACCTAGTGCCTGCCCGCGGAGCCCTCGGGACACAGGGTCTGACTCTGGCTGCTGCTGAGCGTCTGGCCCACATTTTTTTCCCCCTTCCTGGAACAGCTTCAGCTCAATAGGCTTAAAGAAAGAGGTCTTACTTGCTTTGGCTGAGTACAGCCTCTTCTCAAGGTGTGATGTTTGCCTTTCCACTTAAAGACCAGGGGAGAATTGGGGCCCATCCTGACCTGTCCTCCTTCAGGGACGTGAGCATTCCCTATAGACTAGGGCTCTTTTCATCCTCATTTTAATTTATAAAATGTTAGGATCAAAGTTGATTGTCATGGTAGTTCAAAAATAACTTTATAGGGGCTGGGGATTTAGCTCAGCAGCAAAGCGCCTGCCTGGCAAGCACAAGGTCGTGAGTTCGGTTCCCGGTACCGGAGAAAAACAAACAAACAAACAAAAAACAAAAATAACTTCATAAACATACACATGCTGGGGCCGGGGATATAGCTCAGGGGCACAAGTGCCTGCCTGGCAAGCGTAAGGTCCTGAGTTCGATTTCCGGTACCAAAAAAAAAAAAAAAAAAAAAGAACACCCACATTCTGCTCCCCACTAGGAGTAAGGGTGGTAAGAAGGGTCAAGGAAGTTCTGCTTGAACACTTGAAATTACCAGGCTCTGGCTTGCCTTTTGAAGATGATCCTCTGCTTAGGAATTTCATGGGTTTCTTTTAAACTCCGTTGCCTTCAAGGGTCTACTGCCACTTCATCAGAGCTCTCACACAAGGCAGTTGCTTCGCCTTGCCCAAGAAAGCTGAGTATTTCTCTCCTAGTCCATTGCTAATGTCTGTCTCATAGAGGAACTGCCAAATTTTGAGAGCTGTGGAGTTGGCCTGCATGGCCATTTACCCTTACCCAAAAAACACATCTGTTCCCTGTTCATTTGTGGTAGGGACCAGGTCAAACATGGCAGCGTCTTTCACCAAATTGACGTCCACTGTTCGAACCATCACACTTCCTAACCTGACCTATGTGAACTTTCTACCCTAATCAAGCTAATCTGCTTACTACACCCGCCACATTCATCCCTGTTTATACTGCTTTGCACATGCTGTACTATACAGAGACACATTATAACACTATAATCAAAAGACCAACATTTTTCCCTTTAGGAAGGCTTCAGTGACTGACCTAAGGACTTTATGCAATTATTGCCACATTACCCCTTAGCTTTCCTGTGGTGGTTACTGAGATGGATATTTATTTGTATGTATGTTACTCTGTAAATACGTTGATAGTTGTCTCCTGTCTGGGGTCTCCCTCCTCATTTAGGCTGTGAGCTCTGTGAGAGCAGGACCCGTGCCACTCCTTTATTTTTATAAACCACCTCCCCACTGGCTGGTCACAGTGCCTAGTGCTACACATTATGTGACCATTAAACTTGATGGACATACTTTAAAACTTCAGATTTTAGATTTTGGAGAAAGCAAGAGGCCTTAAAGTGATCTCTTCATGATTCCACCTGTCTCTTCCATCTGATTACCCCAGCTCTGTCCACCTCTTCCCTCTTGCCTTCCTCTGGCTCGCTGCCTCTGTTCTGTGCGGGCACAGCAAGGCTGCCTGCTGCCAAGCAGCCAGGAAAGTGGGTCCTTGTGCCGCCGTCTCTGAGTATGTAAAGCTGTCTTAGCCACATCTGCCTTCGCCTCACGCATCACACAGCCTCCTGGGTCCATTGCTTTTGTGCTTAATGTCTCCTCTTACACAGCACTGAGGTCTCTGAATTTTTCTAATTTTTGTTGTTAACGAATTGTTTCATTATTAAATATATGCATGTATCTAAGCTGTTTATATTCCACGTGTCATTTCTGCTAAATTCCAAAAACAAGTAGATACTCTCCTGCTCAGACACTGGACCAGAGAGAGGAGGAAGCCTCCTTCTTGGAATTTGTTTACACTGGATTCTGCCCCTACGAGCAACTGTAAGGGTTAATATTGCCCTACGAAGGGAAGGCATTTGTGGCACTACCTTAATTATGCTTTTACTGCCTTCCAAAAAGGATGTGAGGTTGTTGAATTTGGAGTTATTCTGCTCCCTCACCCCGGGGTTAAAATTAAGTATAACGATACAGCATCTTTCCCTTACTGGTACTGGAATTGAACTTAAGACCTTGTTCTTGCCAGTCAGGCACCGTGCCACTGAGCTGTGTCCCCAACCCACAGCTTCTGAATAGACTTTTTCTTAAGCATTTAGATGTTGTTCAGCAGTTCGAAAGCCTTATCACACTGGTAAAAGGTAGCCTTCCACCTAGAGCTGCTGCTTTTGTAGTTATTAATGGATACCATTGTGATATTTTACAGCATTAAAAAATCTTTATAATCTTAAGTTATAAATCTCACATTTATAACATTATTCAATGTATAACTTTCTATGCTTGGATATTTCCTGCATTGGAAACAGGAGAAGCAAAAATATTCCAAATTCATGACCTGTATTTCTGAGTCACCTGGTCATAAAGGATGAGAGAGTGGGTCTCCCTCTCCATGTGCAAGTCGGTCTTTTTAAGAGATTACCTGCGTGTTGACTGGCTTTTAAAGGCCCAGAACACTGGAAGTCATGTAATTCATAGCAGAAGGTTAGTGTAGGTAGCAGAAATTACTGAATCATGTACTTCTCCCCTTTCTGTAATACCAATAACCGGTTCTTTTGATGGTAGGTCTGTTCTGTACCAGACAACCAGGAAAATAAGATGTTATCCTAGAGCCCATCTGTAATTAAGAGCATAGCTGAAGCCAAGCACAGTGATGATGCCTCTTAGCACCCTGGGACCTGAGGCAGGATGATGACAAGTTCAGGCCCAGCCTGGGCAGTGACGTGACTCACAAGACTCTGTCTCAAAAAATAAAAATTAAAGAAGGGCTGGGATCTGTGCAAAGGCCTAAAAAACAGCAACAAAAACCACATATGTGTACATGCATTTGTGCATCTTCAGATAGACATTTTGTTCTGGCAAATACTAACCCAAATTTTCATATAATAGCATCAGTAGTTGAGAAAATTTGGCCACAGATTTTTTTTCTATGAGCAGGAAGATATATTTGGCCAGGTGTTACCCCTCATAAAATACAAGACTTCTAATTGTTTCTGAGCTCCTGTCATGTATGACCATTTATGATACTACTTGGGTAATTAATCTTGAAAGACTGTCTTCCCTCCTGAGGTTTTTAAAACCTATTTTTAGTGTATGTTTGCAGTACATAATGATCACATTGAGGGGACTTGGTACCTGTGGATAACACATCTTAATCTCTTTATTCCTTTCTCCCCTTCTGCATCTCTTGGTCCCCTTCTCATTTGCAAAATATCTGCCTTTCTCCTATTATCTTTCATTCTGCTCTTTATTTACATTTTGTATTTCTCTTTTTTTGTATTTTAAAGAGTAAAAGAAGGATAACATAATAATGGGGTGGCTCACCAAATTACAGACAAAGTGCTAGGAAATTATCAATGGTTATTGTTTTACATATTGTTATCTACAAGATAGTTTCTCAGGAAAACAAATAGACAAATAATAGTGAGTTACAGACAAAAGAGGTAGGAGATTATCAATAGTGTTGTACTATGGTATCTTCAAAGTGGCTTCTAAAGAAAATAAATACAGCTATACACGAGTGACCTATTGAATAATCATTAACTATTCTCAATGATTGTTGTAGGAAACACATAATAATAAACATGCATCCATGTATGAAATAGGATAGGAACAATACAAACATTACAGAGTTATGGATAGATTAGTAGGAAAATATCAATGGCTGCTATAATCCATGGTGGTATCTTCAAAGTGGTTTCTCAGGAAGACAGAGATACTCAAGAAGGATCTAACAAGTAGTTACAGCCTAAGGGTTGTCAAAAATAGCATATTACCTCCTCACCAGTTGACTCGAACTCACTTTGTAGCCCAGGCTGGCCTCGAACTTGCAAGATTCTCCTGTCTCAGCCTCCCATGTGCTGGGATTACAAGCGTGCGCCACCACACCCAGCTGGGTTTTTCATGTAAGAGAAACCACGAGATTTTTAGCTCGTGTGTCTGATTTATTTCACTTAACATTATGGTCTCAAGGTGCATCCATTTTCCTACAGGTGACTCATTTATCCTTCCTTCATGAGGTTTTAAAAATACTTCCTATGGCAACATGTAGTAAGTAGTAGAGATTTAGATTAGGCAATACAGGGACACTGTTCTCTTTGAATGCATTTCCACCTATAATGAAAATATTTCCTTTCTGATTAAATGCCGGTAAAGATGACGACTTTGGCGCTGTCTTTAAGGTTGTCCCCTCACTGGTCCCTCTCTGACATGTAATTTCTCTGCAGGTTGGGTTCAATACCCAGTACTGAAAAAAAAAAAAAAAAATGGTATTCTTCCTTAAAGTTTATTATTTTCAAGTGACTCAGTAATCTATGCTGCCAAAATCAGAACACTCGAAACTTTCCAAGTAAAAAGATTGTAAGTATCTAGGATAGATATATAACCTGGGTTAGGCCGGGCGTGGTGGCGTACGCCTGTAATCCCAGCACATGGGAGGCTGAGGCGGAAGGATCATTGGAAGTTCGTGGCCAGTTCGGGCTACAAAGTGAAATCAAGTCCAGCCTGAACTGCATAGCCAGACCCTGTCTCAAAAAAATTTTTTTTTTAATTAAAAAAAGATATATGTATATACATACACACACACACATATACACAACCTGTGCTCCTCTGTAAGGTGTTTAGAAAGGATAACCTGTGAACTAGTTAACACCTATCCTTATTTGACTGATTTCTCATTTTGCAGCTGAGGTTGGCCTCGAACTCACAACAATCCTCCTGCCTCAGCCTCCCGAGTGCTGGGATTACAGGCGTGCGCTACCACGCCCAGCTCTTTTGCTTTGCTTTTATAAAACCTCATCGGTCCTACATTTAAGAGGGTGGCGGTGGTGTTTGCCTCTAACCCCGTTAAGCATTTTTCTAGAGTTCCTCATCTGACTGAGGGACAGCATGACTCTGCATAAGAGAGTGCGCGGTGGAGGGACCTGAGACCAAAGCAGCGGGACAGAGCGCCGGGACAGGCTTCAAAGCCTGCAAGCCCTTCTCCGTCTCCCGCCCGCAGAGGGCCGGCGGATCCAAGATGGCTCCCCAGAAACAGGTAATTTAAGTGTTGCCCCTGCGTAGAGCGCCCCCAACGGCGGGGGCCAAATAAGATGCGAGAGGCCCGCCCACCCGCGAGCTGAGTCGGCGGCGGCGGCCGGCCAGGGTCTATTTTCAGTCGGGCACATCTGTGGTCGCCCATGGACCC